ACACCTATGATGGAAAGTTCTCCTATTTTATTACTATAATTTTGCAATGGAAAACTAAGATCCTCCCCTCTAAAGGAGGTATATATGAAACTTAAAGTGAAATCCATGTAAATATTTGGAATGATTCTCTCTTTCTTTTCCCCTTCAGCCAGAGATAATACATGCCAAAAATAACCCTTTAACTTTTTGTTTTGTTAAAGAATCACTGTAAGGATTGTGTTCTGACTTTGGATATAAGAAACCAAACAGTACTGGAAAATGACCTATCACTATTCTGATTTTAGTCTCTTTGATTATTCACATGTTCTGTTGATCTTTAATTGTCAAAAATTTGGCTGCCAGTCAGATATACAGACTATTTTAGCAACAATAATTAGAGAACATTCACCTTTGGCCCTAGTTTTCATTTAACTTTTTGGTTTTTAATTTACCTTTCAATATAGAATCGAAATAAAGACATATTTACCCTGTTTACTGCTGCTGTTTTCCTTATGTCAGATTTTAGGTTCTAAATTGCTTAACTCAGTATTCTATAAATCATTATACATTGGAATGAAGACTATTAAAATACTGTAAATTAGCAATAATAGCAAATACCAATTCAAAAATACCCTAATGTGAAAAATGTATCCTGTGATGATAGTTTTACATGTTCAGGTATATATTCCTTCATCCATGTGCAAACTAGGTGACATAAAAATGCAAGTGATTTCCTACCCAACACCCAATCCTCAAAATCGGAATAGGGAACGTTGTATAGGCACAAAAAAATCAATTCCTCCCTTTTTCCTTTTTTGGGTAGTATTTTAGATCAAGCATAGATCTGATTTATTAAGTCTACTACTTTATGAAATAGTATTTCTGTTAATGTATACAAGCGCTAGTTTTTTCCCATGTCTACTTATATATGAAAAGCTGCATGCATACAAACTGTTTCTTTCATGTGCATTCATCCAAGTTCATATTTGTATTTGTAAGATCTGTCCTCTTTTGTCAAAATGTTCAGTTATGTGCCTTCTTTAAAATCAACCCTTTAAGTATTTCTTCTCCCTGCTCCAGACCACCCAGCTAGCAAATACCATATTTGACCAGTTGTCACAGATTCTCATCAGTTTCATTGCTATGTCTCCCAGCATGATGGCAGTCATAGCTCATCATCTCTTCAGGAGTTCTAAAGAAGTCATTTGTCAAAGCTCCGTCAATTACTTAGGCATTGCAAAAGAACAACAACACAGCACAAGATTCATTAGCTTTTATGAGACTTCAGCAATTGCTGTTGCCTCTTGGATAAATAGAACTTAGGGGATATGTGGGATATGCTAAACCAAGCATACCAAACCTTTTGGCTTGCCTGGGCCTCACTGAGTGAAGAGGAATTGTACTGGGCTGCATATAACATATATAAAAGTAACTATCACTAAAAATGACATTACGTTAAAAGTTTAACCTTGTGAACTCTCAAGCTAACCTTGTGAACTCTCAAGCTTCCTCGTTCTGCTATGTATTCAGGATGGACAGTGATTAATATTTATATGTATTTATATGTTAGGGTGTAGGTATATACATATGTATGTATACAGCATATTTATGTTTGTGTTATGTATGTGTATACTTTTGAGAACAGGCAACAGAACCTCATTTTTAATGTGTACCAGTGTACCAGTAAAAAAATGACAATTTTTTGACAGTTTATGAACTTGTGGGGCCACTTTACTAGCTGTTCAGGGCCTCATGGAGCCTATAGATCTTGGATTGGTCATGCTGTGCTAAACCATGAGGTATAGGAAAAATCAGGGAAATGTCGATCTAAGTGCCTTCCCTTTCCTTTTTTTTCATGAGCATCCAAGAAAAAGAAAAACAGTCCCAAATTCAGTTTCACTTCAGCATTACACATGCAAAACAAGGGATTGTAGCTAAATTCTAACTCTGAATGACTTGCAAAAAGAGCAAAAGGCTAGAACAGTGGTTCTCAACCTGTGGGTCAGGACCCCATTTGGGGTCGAACGACCATTTCACGGGGGTCGCCAAACAACGCAGTCCGCCATTTTTTCCCCCTTTTCCTTAGCTGTGCTACTCCCTTTTATTCTATTGGCTTTTGAAAGCCAATAGAATAGACTCTCTTGAATAGAGTCTAATTCTATTGGCTTTCCAAAGCCAATAGGAATTGTCCAGGCTGTCTCTGCCCTGCTGAGCCCGCCAAAAGTCCCATTCTGCAAACGGTGCTGCACCAGTTGAGTAGTCCTCGACTTACGACCAGTTGAGTAGTCCTCGACTTACGACCGGTTGGGGGTCACGGCATTAAAAAGGTTGAGAACCACTGGGCTAGAATATGGTTCAGCCATTAACAAACAGTATTGCCTATAGCAATAAGAAATTTATTGAGTTAAATATGTACTATGATTTATCCCTCATTCCTTGTTATGACTGGGTGCCTTTCTTGCTTACCTCTGCAAAACCAAATTATTGCTTAATGTGACTTGCTAAACTGCATAATTAAACATCTATATCATTATTTTAATTTTCTATGAAATAGACCTGAAATATTGATGTCCAATGTACACAAATAGACCTTTCATTGATAGTTTTGGCGTCAGGAATGATCTTCTCACCAAATGAACAAGAAAAGAGATCTCTAAGTTTGTCCTGTCAGTATTGTATCCCTACTCTATAAATGTGAACTTCTGAAGCTGTCCTTGCTATTGGCCACAAAGTCCTGCTATGTTTATCCTGTACTGATTTGGCCCCACTTGAATAGGAAGAGGGACGCCAAGATTCCTTGGCTTTTTTCTTCACTAAAGCTTTTAAGAACAATTAACTCTGACTGTTATCAGCTATATTACTTGCCTATACAAGTAACAGCTAGATATAGATCGTGTATTCTATCTCCAGTCTCCAAAGACCTACATGAAAACCTTTGAAAAGATGTTTCTTTTAGCTTTCATCACATACCAATAGATATTATCTTGTATTTGTTCAACACAAAAATATTTGTTATGAAACATAACGAAATTATCCATTTATTGTTTAAAGCAAACTAATCCCTAGTTTTCAAATCAAGAAACCGTCGATTTACAGTAGGTTTTGTACTATTTTTCCTCTTTAATTATCAAAATATTTTTGTTAATTTTGTTGAGATCAAAATATTTTTGTTGTTAGTTTAAATAGGCATGTATTACTTTTGTCTGCTCCGCATAGGGATTTTGTTTATTATATGCAGTACAAATATTATAGAATATGAGTTAACATGAATTGACATCAGAGCTGAATTATCTGACCAAATTCTAAAAAGATTGTTCATATAGTTGAATTACAGAGGAAGTATAAAGCATTTATTGTGTAATGTTTTAATTAAATAGATATTAAAGGATACCTATTCTTGCACGAGCCTATTATAGCATTATAATGAATTTGGGTAACATTCTGTGGCATCCATTTATTAAGCAAATGAAGAATTTTCCTAATTACTATTTTCAGGCAAAAATTAAGACTATTTTTTTAAAAAACTATAATAGGTAAGGGGTTAATATGGCAAAAAAAGAACTATGTTATGTAATTTAGAAAAGGGAAAACTATCAAGTATGTCTATAACTGCTTTAAAGAATATTGGAAGTCTCTTAACTTTTTTTGTTTTGTCTTGTTTTTCTTTCTATTGCTTTCAATACTTTTTTTAATTTCTTTCTTTTTGTACTGCTTAGTATTTATCTTTTAACTTTCTAAACATAATGAAAATTATATATTAAAAAACCATAATAGCTATAACACATTTTGTCTACCAAGTGAGCATATATTTAATGCAATTATAAGACCCATAGTGAAATCTGAAAGTCAGAAACATTTCCCATTGCTCTGGCAAACATTTGTGTTGTTTTTCCATTTACACATTCATCACTGAAAACAAATATGTTGGTCTGCTTTTAACTGAGTGTAGAGGTCCCACCTTAGACATGAAGGCAGCTGAATGACTTTGGCTCGATCAATCTCTTTCAGTACAACACCTCACAGAGCTGTTGTGAGGAAAATAGGAGGAATGTACAGTACAGTATGTTCACTGTCTTGAGTTATTAAAAAAAATAAAATAAAGGTGGGATATAAATAAATGAAATCCATACATAAATATTAAAGAAATATACTAAAGCATTAGTATATTCTAATATAATAACTAGAAATCAGTCAAATAAAGAAATGAATATGGATCTTCAAATTCAGTTCTTCAGACCTAAGCATGCAAACGTTAAACATTCAGGATAATTTTCAAGTGAGAAGTGAGTCAACACACTGTTGTTCTACAAGTGCTATGTATGGATAAAGGGGGCAATAGTAGAATGGTGGAGGAGGATTACCACTAAAACTGAACCACTTCAGCTTGGAAAAAGTATGTAAAGCTTCTGTAGTATTTCCTGTAAAAAAACAAACATAAAAATTACTTGAAAATGATATAGTAAGTAAAGATTGCTCTTTGATAATAGGAGAATGCAAAAGCTTTAGTAGATTTCTCCCTAGTCTTTCTTACATAACTACACCTAAGTAGTCCTCAACTTACAATCATTCATTTAATGACTGTTTGAAGTTACAACAACACTGAAAAAAATGACGTATGACCATTTTTCTTACATATGACCATTGCAGAATCCACACGGTCACATGATCAAAATTCAGACACTTGGCAACTGACTTGTATTTATGATGGTTGCAGTGTCCTGGGGTCATGTGATCACCTTTTGCAATCTTCTTTAACAAGCAAAGCCAATGGGGAAGCCAGATTCACTTAACAACTGTGTTACTAACTTCATAACTGCAATGATTCACTTAACAGCTATGGCAAAAAAGGTTATAAAATGGGGCAAAATTCACTTAACTGTTTCACTTAGCAACAAAAATGTTGGGCTCAATTGTCATAAGTTGAGGACAGCCTGTATTGAAGCGCTCTCTCTATCTATCTATCTATATGTATATATATATATATATACACATCATTCTAATGTAAAATATTTCTACTTCAGTTCGCAGCTCATCTGGTGAAAATAAAATATCCAAGAATTTGCATTTTGGATGGTGGTATAAACAAAATCAAGCCAACAGGTCTTCTAACAGTTCCTTCTCCACAAATATGACCAGAAAAGCCTCAAGTGTCTCCTAGCTCTATGGGGAAAAAAACCTCTTAAGAGTACAACAACATTTTAATTCTGCTCATGCCCCAAATATTGTGTCTGTTTACAGTGGTTTTTCAGTTGAGTGGGTTTTTTTTTAATTTATCATTTTTACAGAACTTAGCTGGAAGAAGCTATAAAGCACGGGTCTCAAACTCGATCACATCATGTGATGTATCGTGATGTTTTTCGCCTTTGTGGAGCGGGGATGGGCATGGCCTGTGTGTGACGCCTCTGGCCCGCGGGCCGCCAGTTTGACACTCCTGCTATAAAGCATTAAAATGATGTAATTCTAAGAAATCTTCAATTATTTGAGCTTTGTCTATCCACCAAGAGAGAAAAACATAGTTGTATATATATAAAATCTGCCCTTATTAACTCAAATTATGAGTTTGAAATTACATGAATGAATAATATCATTTGAGTGACTGATATATTTAAGATATAATTATTTCAGTCCAAGAATTAATTTGTTTGACTTAATAGTTTATCAGGACCATGGAATATTTAAAATCAAGTAAGGGGAAAAAAACTAGAAATTGCTTTCATAACCTGCTTGTTAAATCTTTTACAGAATGTTTTTATAGAAATATGTCCAAACATTTTTCACTCACTTGTTTGTTAAGCTGTGATAGTGCAGCAGTTGTCATGAAATAGCCTTAATTGTCTGTTAAATTTAAATATATTCTGCTTTGAAAATTATTTGTAAAAGAATAAACTTTTACATTTGAAATATTGTTTCTGTAAATATTAGCTTTGCTAATTAAGAACTGTATCTCTCTGTTTGTGTTCCCTAAATCCTCATCAGTGCAAAAAATTGAAATTGACCGGATAATTTTCTCATTAAGAGACTGGAATGCTTTTACAATCCAGAACAATGTATGATTTGAAAAATCTAAATGGCAGTGTAAAAAATAGAGTTTGTGCAAGGTCATTTCTCCCACAAGATCATTAAGAGTTTTTTTTCAGGTGTAATTTTTTATTTTATTAATTTGGGACACTTATGTAAGAGTACCATTAGATATGGTGAACATTATTTCCCACAAACAAATTACTTATGTTTAAATACCATCAAAAAATAAGATTAAAATAAAATGGCAAATATTTACCCTAAATTGAGTCTGATTTTACTTTTTTCATAGAGACTTTGATAATCAATATTCTCTTTCAAAAGAGAAGTTGAATGGTGGAAGTTTTCAGATCATCCATTCTTTAACTTTGCACACAGCATTAACATGCTCTGAATCTACATTTTGAGATGAAGATATTATATATATATATATATATATATATATATATATATATATATATATATATATATATATATATGTGTGTGTGTGTTTTCTGAGGTTTTCGCGGGTATTTGTATGTAGGTCTTTGGTTGTTCGGGTTTTCTCCCACGTAAAATTGGAAGTGTCTTGGCGACGTTTCGACGAAGTCCCATTCGTCATATATATATATATATGGTTCTGTGTGAGTGGCAGGTATACGCACCCTCCACCAGCGTAAATGGAGCTCTGCACACAATCGCAAGTCCTCTCTGTTCACATAAGTGGATCTTCATGCACAAGAACCCACCACTTGTACAGCCCAGTTCCAAACAAGCCACAGCCCAGGGATTGGGGACCCCTGATATAAAAGACACGTAAGTAATAAATTGTCTTATTGCATCATAAATAGATTTGACTCAGATGTCTCCACTTCCAGAGTGTTGGGGGTTTGAGCCAGTTTAGTTTAAAGGTTAAGATACCAGTCTAGAAAGAGGGAGACCATGAGTTCAAGTCCTGCCTTAGCCATGAAAGACTTTGGGCCAGTCACTCTCTGTCAATTCAATCTACCTCACAGGGTTGTTTTCTGGAAAATGGGAGGGGAAGATGTGTTAGATATATTCACTATATTGAGTTATTTGTCAGTATAATAATGGTGGCATACAAATGAATAAATAAAACTGCCTCAACTGCCATCTTGGTTCATAAAAATTAAATAGCAAACAAGCTTTACAAGGAACTTCAGAATGTTTCATTATGTCAGTTATGTATGAAAAATGGAGAAAATTATCCAGATTTCATTCGTCCAGTCCTTTCATCAACCAACATCCCATCCCAGTGGAAGCTATAATAGGATGAAGACAAGGAAAAACTATTTCATACCCATTCAATAGTTCATTTTTTAAAAAAAGCTTTGGAATGGTTTAGAAACATGCTTAGAAAATGCAAAGCTATTTGAGGAAAGTTTCAGCATGTTTTATTACTGCCTGCTATTGACAGTTGACTTACTGCTTAGGCCTCTTCTAAGGCCTAAGCAAGTATAAATGCTATTTCATCTCCAAAGAGATCTGGGGAGAAAAACATATAAAGCAGGATTCAAATGTTATCATTCTTAGAATAAATCTACTAAAATTTGCTAAATGAAGCATATTAGTTTAATAGGTCTGCTCTAAATATAATACCACCCTAACTCTAAGTGACCTAAAAAGTTTAAAACAGGCAGCTGGAAAAATCTGTGATTTCATTCCTTTTGCTTAAACATTACAAAAGATAAATGGTGCTGGTTGTACTTAGATAACCCAAAATATACAATGCATCTTACCTCGATGCCTTTGATTCTTTTTCTTTTCTAAATATAAAAATAAGATTAAAAATAATTCTTTTGCAAAATAGAGGTGGATATCTCTTTTATCCTCCAGGTATTCCAAAGCATGTTCCCTCAACTATCAAAAGACGTGTTTTTCTAGTGAATATGCAGTTACCTGGCAGTAACACTATAAGCTAATTCTAGCATGAGTCACTGATTCCACCTTTCTCTTTAGGGAGAAAATTTATATTTTTTTCCAGTTTTAGAACATAACTCTGGCGCCACTGAACACAAAGGTAGCATAATAAATCTTTCTTCTAGTAGATAATTGTTAATATTAGTTACAATAACCTACTTGTCAGTATCTGGGGAATCGGGGCTATGGTTATTATAGAACCCAGGATATTTAAAAGATTTAGCTTCCTTACCTTCCTATTACTAGGTGGAATTACTTGCTTCCACCCTTCAAAATAATCTTTAGTTAATCCTTTGTAGTTGGCCTATTTATTTTCTGGCATTCTAGATATTCAAGGTTGATAGGTACTGGTGCAAATTTTAACAAATATCTATTTTAAATTTACATTAATTTTAGCCATTTTCTCCAATTTGGCAATTTTCCATATTTTATGTTAACTTGAATTTCCTGAAGCTATTCTATTCTATTCTAGCATTTGTGCCTAGATCCAATGTCACTAAATTCTCAGTTGAATAGTTAAGAATCTGCTGCCTTGCAAATTTTAAAAGATAGTTACATGTCTGCCTCCTCCATGAAGGAGTTGTTTTTAGAAATAGTTGGAAGGAGTGTCCCAACATTCATTGGGGCTGCTGAGAGTTCAGCCATCAAGAGCACTCTGAAATTATTCATTAATCATTACATTTTGGATAAAAGTATAATTGATAATTGGGCCTTCATAAGCTCACATTTGTCTGATAGAAACCGAACACAGATTTATGTTAAACTTCAAGTGTCTTACTTCTTTGTTTAAAAGGGTAAGGGGTTAATAATAGTATTTCTGTTCCCAAGATTCATTTGAGAAAGCCATGACTTACCAAAACAGTACTGTATAAACTGGATTTAAAAACATGTTTATTATATTACTGAATATGAACAAGATCGCTTTATTGACCAGATGATATAAGAATGACTCTGTTCTCTCTGCAATCCGAATTAATTTGCATATCTTAAGAAACATGTACTTTTTATTTTAGAGTAAATGGCTTACTTGTGCATACTCCTAGCACCAGCAAAATAGTAACCATGTGCTTCCACCTTAATAACAAACTAGTATGTGAAGTTTTGAAGGTCTGTTTAAAAACAACTTACTCCCCCATAACCACCTTCCAAATTATCTTGAAGTAACATTGGACCAGATCTTTTCCTATAAGATACAGTGGCAAAAATCAATACTAGGAACAACATACTTCAGAAATGATGCAAAACTAAATGGGGAGCTTCACCTGCCTCTCTCAAATTATCAGCACTAGGGCTGGTCTATTCTGCAATAGCATACTGTGCCCCTGTATGCCTTAATAGCTGTGAGATACCAGACTCAACAATACTATGAAGATTACATGCAGATGTATCAAAATCACTCCCAACTTGCTGGGATTCCTGTTCTCAGCCATAAAGCACTGCTAGCTTTACGAAGGTAAGATGTACTAGTGAAATATCTCCAATAGATGTATCCAGTGGTGGGATTCAGCCGGTTTGCACCACTTCGGCAGAACTGGTAGCTAATTTTTTGTTGCCCAGGCCCAAAATGGACTTCCAGAAGCAGCATCCACACAGAGAACTGGTTGTTCACATATTTGAATCCCACCACTGGATGTATCACACAAGTCAGGGGTCCCCAACCTCTGGACCGCAGACTGGTACTGGTCCATGACCCATTGGCAACTGGGCCTTGCAAGCAGTGGGCAAGTGTGAAAAGCCTCATTAGTGCATGCGCCAGGAGCTAAGTTGTGCACGTGAAACCATCCCCTCCTCCCTGCTGCTGCCATCACTTCTGCTGCTAGTCCAAGGAGCCAGAAAAATTGGGGACCATTGACATAAGTTAATAGATATTAACACTAAAATATTAACAATATTAATATATCTCTCAGGGGTTTTTTTCTTTTACTGGTGCTTCTTCTTTATAATTGCTTTCGTTTCAAGAAATTACAAGCTAGACCAGTGGTTCTCAACCTGTGGGTTGGGACCCCATTTGGGGTCGAACAACCATTTCATGGGGGTCGCCAAACAACACAGTCCGCCATTTTTTTCCCCTTTTCCTTAGCTGTGCTACTCCCTTTTATTCTACTGGCTTTTGAAAGCCAATAGAATAGACTCTCTTGAATAGCGTCTAATTCTATTGGCTTTCAAAAGCCAATAGGAATTGTGCAGGCTGTCTCTGCCCTGCTGAATCCGCCAAAAGTCCCATTCTGCAAACGGTGCTGCACCAGTTGAGTAGTCCTCGACTTACGACCGGTTGAGTAGTCCTCGACTTACAACTGGTTGGGGGTCGCGGCATTAAAAAGGTTGAGAACCACTGAGCTAGACTAAATTTAAAGGATAATTTTTTATGTGGAGGTTTTGGTATTCCAGTCCATAATTTCTAAATTTCGGGGCTTAAAATACTCTGCTGTGACAACTTATCAGTTACGATTGTGACAGATGCTTATTGATTGTATTTACTTATTTATTTTAAAATTGTACACGTGTAATATCTAAATACTCCTGTTCATGAAAACTCTTAAAATGTGCTTTTGTCATTTTGCTGATTTGTTCCTTTTCAAGGAGACCTACCTTTAGCCTGTATCGAAATGGAAATCTGGTAAATCTGGTAAATACTCTGAAATTACATAGCTGCAGTTATCTGAATCAGCACTGGAATAATAAAAATGCTGTGGAATATTTATAAAGACTAGGCATGCTTTTGAATTTACTTGGGAGAAATCATTTGAGCACAGAAACTCTCTGCTATTCATTAAAGGACTCTGGCCATTCTCATGAATCTGAAAAAAGTTTGATGCTGTCTTAAGGCACCCCTCAATTAAAGTTAACTGTTAAAGCAATGCCTTCTTTTTTTTTCAGATTCACAAGGAAATCTGGAAAAGTTTCGCCTAATAATAGCAATAGATAGTGTATTTGCATTCATCCAAAGTCTAAAAAAGCTAAGCCAGATTCTAATGAATCCAGGCCAGCAGACAAGATTTATTTTTGTATTAACTCCATTTTCTAATTGATCTGTACTGACTTGTAATTTTTATAAATCAGTCATCAAACTCTATGGCTCACAATTTGTTTCTTTGCCTTTAACATCATAAAGGATTTAACCAATGTTGCTAATGGGCTATTTTCTTCTGTCCCCATATACAATGATCAAGAAGCAGAAGCTCTGTTCTGTTGCTCTCACTGAAAAATGAGAAGGTTGATAACAAAGTGTTTTGACTGATGGAACTCAGATAATGAACTTTAGTACTTAGTTAAATGTATTTGTTATATATATTCAGATATATATAACTTTGTTTAGATAGGTGAGATTATGGAGTGAATATAGAA